ACAAAACACGTTACTTTATTTTTTTTTTAGAATTAAAGTATTCAAAAAATTGACAGATATTAAAGTCGAACAAATTATATCAGAAAAAAGAACAGACATTTTATATTGTTGTATTTGTTATCGTTTTTTCCACCTGTAATGTATGTGATCATATATATAATCACACTTGATTACGTGTAAAACCACTTATTATTTAGACTATTATAGATCGTTGTGTTTTACACACACACACACACACACATATATATATATATATATATAGGGGCTCATTCAAGACATAACTGATTAGTTTGTGGTAACTGTAAGATCCAATCTCAACCACAAATCAATGGATAAATTAGGAAATTAATAATTATGGTAGTTTGAGTTAAAATTATAATTAGAAGGTTTTTTAGGTATTTTTAAAAAACTCATCTTTCCTCTCTCATCTCTCCGACCTCCGATGAACATTAATCCGGCAGGTACCAAGTAATTACAAAGGTACATAATGTGATACCCATTGTGATATACTGTGATACCATTATGATATCAACTATGATACCAACTCAAACCTTAAAAACAAAGATACACAATGTGATACCCATTGTGATATACTGTGATACCGATTTCACCGGAGGCCGGAGATTGGAGGTCGGAGAGAGGAGAAAGGAGTTTTTAAAAAATACCTAATATGCCCTCTAATTATAATTTTAACTCAAACTACCATAATTATTAATTTCCTAATTTATCCGTTGATTTGTGGTTGAGATTGGACCTCAACGTTACCACAAACTAATCAGTTCTCATTTGATTAGGCCCATATATATATATATATATATATATATATATATATTTGTGATTGAAATTTTAAAAATCAGGGTTAAGAATTTGAAAAAACATGTATATATATTATTATCAGTACGAAATTGAAGATAATAAAATAGCTGTTTATACATAATGTATTTAATTAAAAATAATTTTTAAAAATAAAGATAAATATGTGGGTTTTCAAAAACCTTAAGTTTAAAAAAGGGTAAAATAGGAATATTATAAAAGTAGAAGAGTTTACATGAATTATTGTTTTGTACATATTATTTGAACATTCATGTTTTGAAAATTTTAAAAGCTAAAACCTAAATGCTTTACAATACACACACTCACCACACCTACATAAATAAATACATACCTTCACTAATACACTTTATAACAACAATCAGATACATAAACCATACTTGATTTAAGGGGTGTTTGGGATTGCTTATAGAAACAACTTATTGACTTATTCCAGTGTGGCATCGGAAATAAGCATTTTTTAGTGTTTCGATAAACAACTTATACAGGTGTTAAACCGGTAATAAACAGTTTTTGAAGAAGTTAAACCATTCTAACTTATAATAAGTTGATAAAGATTTTTGTAAAAAAATATAAGTTGTTTTTTTAATTTTTTTTGATAAAATTTAAGTTATTTAAATGCAATTTAAATTTTTGAAAAACAAAATAAATAAATTGCCAAACTTAATACAAAATATTAATTAACATATTAAATATTAATAAACACATATAAAACTTATAAAAATTAATTTAAAACATAGAAGCCAAATAAAGATTTTGAAGATTTTTTTTCCTTTGAGTAAATTCTCTAAAAGTTTCTGAAAACGGGCGAAAGAAATTAAAAAACCTCCAACTTTAGATAATTTACTAAAGTTTAAGGATAAATTGCATTAAAAAGTAACGTATTTTAACTTGATTTCTATTTTAGATAACGTATTTTTAGAACTTGCATTTTGGTACCTAAGATGTAAAGTTTTGAACATTTAAGTACATGAGTAACGGGTTGAAGCATTAACCAATTAGCATGTTGATGTGACGAGTGATGTGGTATCCAACTCAATATTATTTGCTGACATGTATATCTTAATATATAGTTTTTCTACTGTTCTCACTAATTAAATTGAAATTTTATCTGATATATATAATTTATGTCAGAGCTTAATTTAATATTTTTTTAGAAATTTTAATTCCCCATTTTCCACTTTTGAGTATTTTATGAAGAATTTGTTTCAACAGCTCCTTAAAAATGGAAAAAAGAAAATCTTGAAGTTTTTTAATTTTTTCCAACAATTCTTCTGAAATGGAGAAAAGAGGAAAATTTTATGCAAAACAGATGAACGAAGAGATAATAATACCTAAGACGTAAAGTTTTAAACATTTAAGTACATGAATAACTGGTTGAAAATTCTATGCAAAGTTTATGAGGAGTTTTTTTTATTAATTTTTCCAATTATAACCCTTATTAATACTAAATATTATTTATTACTATTAGTTATAGATATTAATTATTAATTACAAATAAATAATTATTAATTATAAATAAATAATTATATATATATA